ACACACAGAGACACACACAGACAGACACAGAGAGAGAGAGAGACACACAGTGAGAAAACATCACGTCCATGTGTCAAAATGAAAATAAAAACAACTCATATTCTTCATCTTGTAAAAGTGGTTTAACCTTGTTCTGTTACGGCCCATTTCCAAAGACCTGAAGCAGTGTGCGGTGAAGCAGAGGTACACCGGATGAAAGCCCTGTGCTCCTGCTGGTACCTTTGTTCTGTGTGTGTCTGTGTGTGCTGTGTCCGGTCCAATGCAGGTGGTGACGGCACAAACCGGGCCCAGTGTGAACGCTGCTGGTTCCAAAAACACAGGGATTTTTGATCCTCTACATGAAAGAGAAAGTTATTTATGACTCGAGGATAGAAACGGACAAACTGTATTTCAGACACAGTTTATAAAGCTGTATGAGCTGAATCTGAGGAGCACAGGGACTGGCCTCCTGCTGGTCCCAGAGTCAGGACTAAACATAAGGAGGCAGCGTTTCAGATCCATGCAGCTAAAATCTGGAGCAGTCTTCCTAAAACTACTCTACTCTACTCTACTCTACTCTACTCTACTCTACTCTACTCTACTCTACTCTACTCTACTCTACTCTACTCTACTCTACTCTACTCTACTCTACTCTACTCTACTCTACTCTACTCTACTCTACTCTACTCTACTCTACTCTACTCTACTCTACTCTACTCTACTCTACTCTACTCTACTCTACTCTACTCTACTCTACTCTTGAATACTAGTTTATTGTGGGTAAGTTTCTAAGACACGGTTCCAGATTCTACATTATAATGGTACTGGCCTGGAACAGTCTTCCTAAAACTGTGGGACAGGCTTCTTCTCTGACTATGTTTAAATCCAGGTCAAAAACGGTTCTGTTTCGCTGCAACAACTGAAGGATTTTATCTTTACTCTTTTTAATGAACTGTGATTATTCATCATTTTAACCAATTAAACTTGCCTTGCCATTTATTTCTGGTTTTCTAGTCGCTTTTACACAATTCAGACCTTGGAAAAAGCATCATGGTGACAAAAAACAAAAGGTCTGAGGTATTCAAAGCATAAATTCACAGCAGGAGGCCAGTCCCTGTGCTCCTCAGAGTCCCAGCAGGAGGCCAGTCCCTGTGCTCCTCAGAGTCCCAGCAGGAGGCCAAAGAGAGAGACCAGACAAAGAGAAGAAAAACTAGGATCCAAACAGAGAGAGAGACCAGAGAGAGAGAGTCCAAGCAGGAAGCCAGTCCCTGTGCTCCTAAGGCACTAGTTAGAGAGATTTATCGGTGGTTTGAAAGTGAAGGATAAATTCGGTAGAAAACAAGAAAACAAAAAAAACTTGACAACTGCGGTAAAATAAATGAAAAAGTCCATATTAAAGTCACGGAACAGGAGTCGGAGTAATTACAATGACAGGACGAAACATTACATCAGCATTTTTCTTTCTTTCCTTTTTGGCATCTGCCGTTTTCTGGCAACCCTTCTCCACCAGCAGAGACAAGAATGCGTTGCCAGATATGCACTCACATCTTGCCGAACACATTTTTTTAGTCTCGTCCGTCAGCGCTGCTACTTGTTGAAAAGGAATGAGCGATAAGACATGTCATGACCACATCGTTTAGGAGCAATAAAAACATCTGCACAAAACCAACAAACAGCAGGAGAAAAGACTGTTGTTTTAAGGAAGCTGTGGGCGCAGTGAGAGAGAGAGCAGAGAGAGAGAGAGACCAAAGAGACACCAGAGAGAGAGAGACCAGAGAGAGAGAACAGTGAGAGAGAGCAGAGAGAGACCAGAGAGAGAGAGAGCAGAGAGAGAGAGAGCAGAGAGAGAGAGAGCAGAGAGAGAGAGACCAAAGAGAGAGAGACCAAAGAGAGAGAGCAGAGAGAGACCAGAGAGAGAGAGACCAAAGAGACACCAGAGAGAGAGAGACCAGAGAGAGAGAGCAGTGAGAGAGAGCAGAGAGAGACCAGAGAGAGAGAGACCAGAGAGAGAGAGAGCAGAGAGAGAGAGAGCAGAGAGAGAGAGACCAAAGAGAGAGAGCAGAGAGAGACCAAAGAGAGAGAGAGAGAGCAGTGAGAGAGAGAGAGAGAGACCAGAGAGAGAGACCAGAGAGAGACCAGAGAGAGAGAGAGATCAGAGAGAGAGAGGCCAGAGAGAGAGACCAGAGAGAGAGAGATACCAGAGAGAGAGAGACCAGAGAGAGAGACAAGAGAGAGAGACGAGAGATACCAGAGAGAGAGAGAAGAGAGAGGGACGAGAGAGACCAGAGAGAGAAGAGAGGGACCAGAGAGAGACCAGAGAGAGGGACCAGAGAGAGACCAGAGAGAGACCAGAGAGAGACCAGATTACAAGCTAGAAACAAAATTATTTTTGCTGATGAAAGTAGACAGTCTATTCTTTCAGAATCTGGTTTCGGAATTCAGATAGTCATAGTACACAATATTCGGTGGGTCTTGAAAAATCTATAAAAATCATCAGAAACTGCTGGCACTATGGGAGTACCTGTTCTGAAATAGGCTGGCAGGCACTGAGTTAATAAACATTGAACCAGTCCGGCCCTCGGCTCGCAGCAAATTTGTTTTTTTGGCCCTCTGATGTATTTGACTTTGACATGCCTGCACTAGAGAGACCAAACGGAGACCGGAGAGAGGCCAGACAGCGATAAAAACTATATCAGATACGGGGCTGAACCATTTAAACATTCAAATCTTAATGTCAACCTCACTTCACAGCAGGAGCCAGTGGAGTGAAACCAGCACAGGGGTAATGTGCTCTCTCTCATTCTGGATCTGCTGAATACTACAATAGTTTTGTGTGCGTGTACAAGCGAGAGACTGTCCCTCACGAGCTTAACTTTACCAACAGTGCTCTTTATGTCGGGGTCGTGCTCTTAAAAACAAGCCCAAATGACATTATGTAAGCTGTTGTTCTGGGGTCTCTCACTTCCTGTCTCATGCACATGTTTGTCAGAGTCGGTGCAGAGGCTGTTTTCGTCAGCCTCAGGCCTCGTTTAGACGCGACCCTGCAAAGTATTTAGCAAAAACGTCCAGGCTCCTTAATCAAGTACACAGGGTCTACACCACGACTGTAAACCGTGTAGGTGTAGCTTGTGGCCAGTAGGGGGCAGTGGAACTTTACAACATGACACACGCAACCTCCAGCAGTAAAAGCACTTCCTCAACAACATCCTCCTCAGGCCAAAGACGGGAAAGAACCAACATCATTCTTTAGCAGCAGCAGAGAAAATGGAAAGTGAAACTACAGAGACCAGAGAAAGACCAGAAAAAGACCAGAGAGACCAGAGAAAGACCAGAGAGAGACCAGAGAGAGACCAGAGAGACCAGAGAGAGACCAGAGAGAGAGACCAGAGAGAGACCAGAGAGAGACCACAGAGAAAGACCAGAGAAAGAGACCAGAGAGAGACACCAGAGAGAGAGACCAGAGAGAGAGACCAGAGAGAGACCAGAGAGAGACCAGAGAGAGACCAGAGAGAGACCAGAGAGAGACCAGAGAGAGAGACCAGAGAAAGAGACCAGAGAGAGACACCAGAGAGAAAGACCAGAGAGAGAGACCAGAGAGAGACCAGAGTGAGTACGACATTGTAAGTCTCGTTCGAACTCTAAAATACAATCCAAAGATTGAATTTGGAAAAAGAGAGTCTGCAGTCAGAGCTCTCAGCTGTAACACATAAATATGTAGCGCTTCTAAAACAATTGGAGGAAGAGGTTGAAGCAGCAGAGACATGCTCTGCTTCTCGACATAGATGGCTAAATAACAGATGGAAGAGAGAGTTAGATGAGCTGAAGGCTCAGGAACAGCAGCTGTCCACTCAGTTAGAGGAGAGGAGCAGGACGCCAGTCTGTGCAGAGAGAGGTGTGGAGACCCAGGTAGGACCGAGCCAGGTAGGACCGAGCCAGTGCACAGACGTTGCTGTACAGGTAGGGTTTGAAGTTCAGGAGACAGCCACACAAGTCCAGTCAGCGGCAACATCTACAGATCAAACTGTACAAACGGAGGTGGCGTCTGTAGAGATGGGGACACAGACGGATGTTTCCGGCTGGACAGAGGTCACAAGATGGCGCTGCTTCAGACCCCCTGCAGGCACAGCTCAGGGTCAGGGACTTGAGGCAACGCCTTGAGGATTCAGAGACACAGCTTTGTCAGCTCGAGGCTATCGCAAGTGAGAGATATGAAACCATCAGGAGATTGAGGGGTCAGGAGCAGAGCTGCCACCACATTCACAATGCACCAGTCCCTCTGATTCTCCAGCAGGTGGTGGGTTTACAGGAAGAAGGCTGCTCCTTCAACACAGATACGGCCTTGATCTTTCAGCGGGGGCTTCAGGCAAAGTGTCTGGCCCAGGGACACAACGACAGCCGACATCAGTGGGAGCAGATGACATGAGTCGTGGTGGGATCAAACCAACGACAATTACTGTAGGTCCAAAGCCCAACGCTCTACCAACTGAGCTTCTGTCGTCCACACTGGAAGTATTAGGGGCAATAAGTATTACATGGGATCCGGCCCGAACCAGGGGCGACCCGCCTCTCCACCTGGAGAGGCCTATTATTGGAAAAAACAATAAAAATAAATACATTGAAGTAGAGTGGATTTTTTTCTCTCTCAACGTGGCATCAACCAAATGTCATGGTTTTCATGTTAAGTTCCTGTTTTATTTTGTAAATATCTTTTCTCCTGTGCCTTTTTGAGTTTTACTTCCTGTGCTGTTGATTGCCTGCCCTGCCTTTTTGAGTTTCACCTGTGTCTTAAATTCCCTGCCCTCTTTTTCCTCTTTGCTCAGTGTTTCTTGTCTTTGTCTTCAGTTCCTGTGTTTTTAGAGTTTTGATTTTTGAATTCTTGTTTATTAAAGTGTATTATTTTTGCTGTATTATTTTTTCTACACCTGGTCCTTGGTTCACTAGTGCCTTGTGAGTCTGCTGCCCAGTGCTGACCCTCCCTTTCCTGAAGCCACCACCAGGCAAGTTTCTCCATCTGGGGTGGTCCTGTCCATACTCTGTAAATATTAATGGACGTAGTCACGGCTATCTCCGCCGTTCTAACTAATGTGCCACAACTTCCGCAGTCTATGGGCAGTTTCAAAATGGCTGGGGGCTGGAAAATGTGAAAAAAAACTCATCTGCGCATGCGCCAGCTGCACGAGCTCCATTCATTTACCCTCAGCATTGACACATCTTGTTCTCTCCATAGTTCAGAAATTTTTGACATTTTTGAATATTTAAAATCAAAATACATCCATTAGCACGCCATTCGTCCAGATCTGTCATGTGCCTCCTGTACTGGCCTCGCCCTCATCTCTATGTGGAGTGGGAGACAAATGCCCGAAAAAATAACAATTGTAAACCACTTTGTGACTCTGGTCTGTGAAAGGCGGTATATAAACATTACTCACATACTTACAATAGATTAGAGTAATGCTTTTTGATTAATTACTCTTTTTGTTTAGGTCACATGAACAAGAAACATGCATTTGAATGTTCCACTCTGAGGTCAAACAAAGAGAGATGACGTGAGGAGGACGGAGGGGATTTGTTCCAATGCCTCAGATTTACTGCACATTTTGCATACGTCCTGTTCGATTGCTTCAGGGCTTTCATTTCAACCAAACAGGAGCACCACAGACTCCACTCATTTCCACCGGAGCAACATGGAGACCAGAGCGAAAGAGACCAGAGCGAGAGACACTAGAGAGAGGCCAAACGGAGACTAGAGAAAGACAGAGAGAGAGAAACCAGAGAGAAAACAGAAAGAGACAAGAGAGAGAGAGACCAAAGAGCAAGACCAGAGAGAGAGACACCAGATAGACACCAGTGAGAAAGAGAGACCAGACAGAGACCAGAGAGAGAACAGAGATAAACCAGAGAAAGAGAGAGAGACCATACTTGGACCAGAGAGAAAGACCATATAGAGAGAGACCAGAGAGAGAGAGACGAGAGAGAGACACAAGAGAAAGAGACCAGATAGACACGAGAGAGAGAGAGAGAGAGAGAGAAAATAGAGAGAGAAAGAGAAAGAAAAGAGAAGAGAGAGAGAAAGAGAGGGGACTGAGGTTTCTCACGTTTTAAGGGCAAAATGAAACAAAGAATTGTTTGACGTTTCTGGCTTTCTCCTGGTTCAGACTTTTGTAAACTTTGAGTCAGTTTCTTCGCTCACTTCCACATCTTCTCTACAGCTTCCCCTGATCCTCTATCCCCAAACACCGCTGACAGAAGCTACAGTACCATAAATCACACACACCATAGCGTGCCGGTCCCGGGCCTGGCCCAGGTCTGGATCAGGTCTGCGGCGGCTTGCTCAATGGGGGACCTCGTGGCGGCACGGTGGCTGAGTGGATAGCACTCTCGCCTCTCAGCAAGAAGGTCCTGGGTTCGAATCCCGGTCGGACCAGGGCCTTTCTGAGTGAAGTTTGCATGTTCTCCCCGTGTCTGCGTAGGTTTCCTCCGGGTACTCCGGTTTCCCCTACCACTAAAAATATGTCCAATAGTTCTGGCATGCGCCTCCTGTACTGGCGACCCCGCTCCCATCTCTGTGTGGAGTGAGAGACAAATGCCCAAAATTAACAATTGTAAACCGCTTTGAGACTCAGATCTGCAGTGAAAAGGCGGTATATAAATAACAACTTACTTACTTACCTCAGGACATATTTTGGCTTGCGTCTGATTGGGCAACGCTCGTATTATTCAACGTGTAGCAATTCTTCTCGGGCTGTTTACACGGAGGAATGCTAACCAGAAGGCTTGCCTGGAGTCTGCCGCACGATTGGACAGAACCGTGGACTTTCCCTCTCGCTCAAAGCATCGTCAGGACCGTCTTGTACTTAATTAAAGGGAACAAAGTGGAATTCTGTGGCTGGTTTTTCTTTTTTTTTTCTTAAATTGTCTTTTGCCCCTAGTTTAATGAAGTGCATTAAAATAAGCATTAGGTTTACCCTTTTCTTAGTGTATGCTGTGTTCGACCCTGACTAGTGTGTTGCTGGAGGGACCTGAGAGGAGAGGGAGGACAGCAGGCCCGGACCCCACACCCAGTCTTGTATTTAGTTAAAATAGTTAATTCCAAAGATATAATAATAATGATAATATGATTAATATTATGAATATTCTTATTATCATAAGACATTGCTAATATTGACATTGTTTGTAATTCTAAAAGACACAAATCACCTACACACTCACACCTACAGACAGACTTTTAAATATATACAATAATTAACTTGTATAATTAATTATATCTTTATCTTTTTCCCTTCTCTCCTTTCCATTTTCAATACATTTTGTTATGCACTTGTGGCTCTGTGGCTGTTTTCATTGTTGGCCTATAATTATACAATTGGCAATTATATTTGTATACCTATATAATATATATATATAATTTTCTTGTATATTTCTTTATTATTCTAATTATAGAGATTTTATTCTATTTTATTTCATTTTAGTACAGTGTTGCTGTTCACTTATCTTGTGCTGTGTGATCCTCATTTCTACTGTTCTGTAACCGATGATGCACCACTGAAATTTCCCTACTGTGGGACAAACAAAATATCTCTTCATTTCAATCATCATAAGCTTATAGGCAGTGGTTAGCGGCTCTGGCCAATTGTCTACCATACATTCATCCATTCATTTCTTAATCCAGAATATTTATTTCAATATTGTCTGCCATTTTTAGCTGTAGAAGGACTAATTGATGTACATAGTTTTTTCCCATAATGACCTGCACAACAGAATGGAAACCCAGGCTGAAATGTTTGCATGGATTTGGGACCAATCACAGAACAGGGCAAGATCCGCACAATTGGACAGAAGCTTGTGGGACTTTCACAGATCCAGCAGATGGCAGCAGTTAGCATTTTCCTCTTTCACTAATTACCTTTTTGTGAATTTCTACCGCTCAACAAACGTTATCTGGTAGAATTCATACGATAAGATAAGGGCTGACAGTGCCTCAGTTGGTCTTCGGGCCTATAGGTCATGTGTTCGATCCCCCAACGAGACTTAGTCCATCTGCTTCCACTGTTGTCTGTTGATGTGTCCTTGGGCAAGACACTTCACTTTGCCTGAAGCCCCCGCTGAAACACCACAGCATTGGGTGGCAGCTCTGATTGACACCACTCCGACCCAGAAATGAAATAATAAAGGGGATGAAAATGAATGACCAAAAATACCATAAACATTTACTAGCCTCTCAGTGAGGACGTTTCAATGACATAGTTGCACATTACAGCGGAATAAAAAGATAAAATAAATTATCTATAAAAGAAATAGCACTCAGGTTGCACACATGGATCTATAATTTAAGATAATATAGAATAAAATCGCACAATAATAAAACTTAATACCCTTTGTGCACATACTCCGACACATGTTTAATAAATGGCTATGGAGAATCTGTTGTTTGTACTTTTATATTCAAACATTCTTCAAACCTATTATTATTTATATCCCAAAGCCAACTTCGATTTTATGACTTCCTGTTACTTAAAATGGCCAAAATCCTATGAGAAATTGAACAGACGGTTCCCAGACTACATTTATTCACTTACGATATTTAGTCTGAAGATTTCAAGGCTAATACAAAATCATGTCACTAATGGAAGACATATAACTATTGGGGAGTGCAAACAATTACAAAATGTAAAACTGTAAAAAAATTTGGTTTATAAATCCATTTTGCCAAAAGAGCCAGATTTGTCATCGGGAGCGAAGAGCAAATTTGGAATGAGACAAAGATTGCAATCACCCACAAAATAAGAATTGTTTGCATTTGTCCCGTTGGCAAATCTTGGATCAAGATAAAGAAAAACAGATTGATTGAAGCGTGTCTTTATAATTTTATCAGTTTTTGCAGCAAACGCAAGACTTTAAAACATGTTGCAACAGGTCAATGTCAGCGCACGGTGGTAATGAAGGCACAAGACTGAAGAATACATGTGTTTAAAAAGGACGAAAAGACCGCCACAGCTCTGGAAGATTCAGAAGGGAGTGTTTTGTGAGGGAGGTTTGTTCAGGATTTCTGATGTTAAAGCTGGGGTACCTAACTTCATTGATAATGTGATTTTGCAAAAAAGAATCTCAACAAAATATTCTTGATTCTCAGACCATGACCTTCTGTCTTCAAATGATTAGAAAACCCATATTATTCATGTAAAAAAGATCCCTGTGAGTCACTATTTGACCCTTTGGGCTCAGAGCTGATTGGCTGATGGAGGGTGGTCCTCTCTTTGCCACTTTTCAGTCTGAAAAAGCTGATCGAAAGATGTGAGATACAAGAATGTGAAAACTAGTGATAGAAACCAACTGAGACCAGAGAGAGACTAGAGAGAGAGACTAGAGAGAGACCAGAGAGAGACTAGAGAGAGATAGAAAGAGGCCATGGAGAGGTACCAGAAATAGAGAAAAGAGAGATAGACCAGAAAAAGAGAGACCCCAAAGACAGAAAACAGAGAGAGACCTGAAAGAGAGAGAGACTAGAGGGAGTGCAGAGAGAGAGACCAGAGAAAGACCAGTGATAGACCAGAGAAAGACCAGAGAGAGACCAAAGAGAGACCAGAAAGAGAGAGACCAGAGAGAGAGCAGAGAGAGAGATACCAAAGATAGAGACTAGAGAGAGAGACCAGAAAAAGCGAGACCAGAGAGAGACCAGAGAAAGACCAGAGAGAGACCAGAGAAAGACCAGAGAAAGACCAGAGAAAGACCAGAAAGAGGCCGAAGAGAGAGACACAGAGAGAGAAACCAGAGAGAGACTAGAGATAGAGGTCAGAAAATGAGACCAGAAAGAGACCAGAAACTCTTTCAGGTCTCTTTCTGGAAACTATTTTGAGATCTAGAAACTTGTGACATGGCTTTGATTACATTTGGTGGTTTGAAAGTTAGGCACCCCAGCTTCAAAGGCAGGTTTGTTTGACGTGGGAACAACATTACAGCAGGATTTAAAGCCCAGATTTAGACCGGAGCCATGTGGAGGTGTGTGCTGCCTCAGGGGACCTGAGGCTGAAACTCTATCTCTGCTTCACCGACAACGCAAAACCAGGAAGTGCGAGGGGGAAAGGGGGCGGAGTCTGAGGTCACTACTGTACAGTGTGTGTTTGTGCGATTGAGCAATACACCACACGCTTCGCACATCTCCCCAAAAACAGAACGATCGGGTGTCAGCGGCTGAGAGAGCGATGTTTTTCAGTGTTGGGAAATATTGTTGGAACATCGCAGGTCACAGAGAGTCCGGAACGTTTAGTAACTTTAGGTTTTTTTCTATACATACACGTTGGGCCTTTTTGATTGAGCAGGCTCTTGATTGATTAGCAGGCTCTTGTGTGTGTGACTTTAAAGAATGAGAAGTGATGTTTTTTGTAGAGCCATAAGAAAATAGAAAAACGTTATGAAGGATTACAAAGGATCTCTGCATGTAGTTCCCCACTTCTACCACCAGAGGGAAGTTCGGCTTATGGAGGCCGAGAGTATAATTTATGGTCAACCTAGCTATTAGGTATTTATTAGGCACTTATAAGTCCTTCTTCTACACACGAGAGAGATAAAGGGAAAAGAAAGAGAAAGTCACAAACTAATTTCAAAAAAGATTTAATGTATATTTGTATAACTCTAAACCAGAACAGCTGTTGTCTTGGAGGACTTTACGAAGTTGTCGATTCATAAACAACAAATAAAACATATGAATACTGTATTTAAAAAACCTAAATGTCTCAAACTCCAAGGTCGTGCTGCTCAAACAGGTGAACTCCAAACTAAACTCATGCCATAATTATCCGACCAATCAGAGAGAGAGTCCATTGTTCCCACAGCGACGACCAAAACCAACGAGTCCAGTTTAAATGCAATCACCGCGGCGACCGGAGGCAGAACACGCGCTGTCACGGCAACAGCTCCTCACGGCAAAGTCAGTCTCCCCCTCGCGGCCTCCGGTTTAAGCCCGAGGCCGTTTGTGTTGCTAAAGTTGGGGATTTAAATTGTCCGGGCTTCACACACAGGGATCATCCACAACACAGCGGGATTAAAGAGAGAGAGAGGGAGGGAGAGAGGGAAGGGGAGAGAGAGGGGGAGAGAGAGGGAGGGAGGGGAGAGAGAGAGGGAAGGGGAGAGAGAGAGAGGTGAGAGGGGGTAGAGAGAGAAGTGAGGGAAGAGAAAGAGACAGAGAGAAACAGAGACAGAGAGAGACAGTGAGAAAGAGACAGAGAATGAGGGAAACAGACAGAAAGAGAGAGACAGACAGACAGAGAGAGAGAGAAAGAGGGAAATCTTGTTATTATTTTCATTTCGATATCCCGCCCTCCACCGTTTCACCAATCAGAAAGTCTGTGATCCGGGCGCCAGAAC